AGTGATGGTGTGTCCTCACACCCATGGGAACTCTCCCTGCAGTGATGGTGTGTCCTCACACCCATGGGATCGCTCCCGCACAGCAGTGTGTTTTCACGTGGGGAAGAGCAGCATCATGATGGAGACCAAACTTTTTACTATTCAGCAAAGTCTGAAGGGAACAGGCTGACACCAGAGAAGTGGGAGGGATCCTTAAGCTGTGATAGTGAAGATTCTAGAGGGTCCATGCTAGGAGAGAGTGGAGTGTTTAAAACGAGATTGTGGAGAGTCAGCTGTCACTGTTGGCCAATACAAGGCAGCATGTGTGAGAGTGTGGCTTTTCGGTTGGTGCAGAGGAAGGGGTCCAGTCTTTGAGAGCCAGGACACGGTGGTCAACAACAACAGAGGCAGCTTTGAAGGGCAATGCCAACTCTGGAGCCAAAGTCCCCAAGAGAAGGGGTCATTCAATGCTAGAGACTCCACAGTGATTCAGGGAAGAAGCTGACAAGTGAGAACCTGTGGGGATTGGAGGAAGAGAGAGGAGAGCAGCCCCACCTCAAGGACTCCACAGGAAAGCCAGTCCTAGACAGTAGTGGGAATGTCTAAGATGGGACTGAGGGTCCTTGACATTCTGAGTGTTTCAGAAGCTGCAGTCAGCAAAGCATTCTGAGGCCCTTAGGGGAGGTGACCAAGCTGCTTTCAAGACTAATGCAAACTGGGATAAAGAGCTTAATGAGCTTACTCTGGAGGCAGAGGTGTTGGAAGGCTGAGTCTGGGGGAGCAGAAGAGGGCAGAGAGAGAGCGCTAGCTTGAAGGCTCCAGGTTCTTCCAGGGCAGGGGTAAGGATAAGGGTGCTCCTACCCCCAACTCTTCTTCTCAGAGTGGGTGAATTGGCTCATGGATACCCTCCCAGTTCTTCATTCCACAGTGCTGTAAGGTGAAGATGGGAGATAGCACACGATGTGTATTGCAAACTGCTGACAGTGCTTCAGTGTGCCTCAAGTTTAATTCTTCATTTCCCTTACCATAGGTGAGCAAATCCAGCCCAACTCACTGTCATCTTGTTTATTCCAACTCACAGCCACCCTATAGGGAAGGGTAGAACTCCCTTGGGTTTCTGAGACTGTCAATCTTTACAGAAGCAGACTGCCTCATCTTTCTCCCATAGAGTGGCTGATGGGTTTGAACTGTCAACCTTGCAGTTAGCAGCTCAAAACCAGACCCACTACACCACCAGGGTTCCTTTCCCATAGGTGATGTTGTTGTTATTAAGTGCCCTGGAGGCAGTTCCAACTCATAGTGACCTTATATAGGGTCTCCAAGGAGTGACTGGTGAGTTTGAACTGCCAACCTTGTAATTCAAACTGACCCTGCGGACCAGTGCCTTATCACCCAGCACCATGCCAGGATTCTTTACTGCCCCCATCGTAGAGACTGAGGCCTCAAGCAGTCCTGTAAGTGAGCCAGTCCCCATGGCTAACCAGTGGGCAGTGTGACTAGCTCCTGCACACAGGTTCCTGATGCAGCATCACCTCCTTGGGGTGACCACTTGTCTTTCACCAGCACCCCTCCAAGCAGCTTCTCGGGGCCTGGGAGCCAAGTGTGATGTGGTCACAGTGACCCAGGGTCTCCTCTGGAGAAAACCTCCACTATAGCTCCCTGGTCTTTCATCTGTGAGGCAGGAGATAGGAGTCAGAGCTGGTCTGGAAGATGTCCAGCGTGAAAGCAATGGTCATATCTGACATAAGACATAGTTTGGGGCAGGGTGCAGCCTACGAGGACTGACATCACAAACAGAGTCACTTCCAGAAGCCAGCTTGAGAGGTGACTGGTTGGCCCCAATGATGTCGGAGCTGGCCATGGTGCTGCCCAAGCTGAGTCAAACACTGTAGAACACTGCCCTCCTTGCTGGCAAGCTAAAGCAGAGGGGGCCCCAGAGCCAAGCCAATCTGCAGAGTTCACTGGTTCCCCAGTAAAGCCCAGAGTGTGAACTGAAACTTCCCAATGAGTCAGGGCCAGGCAGTGAGACTTGAAAGATGCCAGAAAGCAGAGCCTTACCAGGACTCAAGGACTTCCCTCTCAGAACTGGGACCAGGAAGGGAGCTCAGAACAGCAGTCACTGACCCCAAACTGGAGCCATGTTCTGGGATGAGTGTGTCAAGCAGGAAGGCACATGTGACCCTAGGCAGCCACCCTATCCTCTACCCCTGCTTCCCTTACCCCCTGGCTCCAGCCTGCATCTCTTGAGACTGGTTTGCAGCATCCTGGGGCCAGCAGCTGATAAGGTAAGCTCACAAATCTATACACTAGACCTGAGGTGTCCCTCCTCAGTCAGCCCTGTGCCCCTAAACTTCACCTATCCCCTCAGTTTCAGATGTGCAAATACAGGACCGCAGCTACCTTTGGAAGACCTGGGACCTTTTCTGTGGCCTGGAGCTGAAGCCGGACCCCAAGTTGGCCCCTGGCGAGTCACTGGGCCTCGAGAGGACAGGGCCAGTCGACATGCTGGAGACTCCCCTTGGCAAGAAACTTCTCAAGGCCAGTGGGCTCCTCCTACTGGTGCTCCTGGTTCTCGGCCACATCCTCTTCTTCTGAGGCAGCTCGGGTGGGGCCCAGCCCCCTCCATAGGGAAAGTGTAGGAGTCATGGCCCATGGGGCCACATGCATGACAGGAGGCCAGGGTCCACTGCCAACACCACCAGCCATAGGATGCCGGGCTGGAGGGATGAGAGTAACATCCACTGTGGCTAACCCAGGCAGTGCAGATGAGAACATCTGTGCCTTTGTGCAATGAGTCACTCTCTCCCTATGGCTTTCCTGCATAAACACTGACTTTCACTTCAAATTTAATGTTGGCTTTTTATCTCCAGATATATTTGGGGTTTTACTGGTGTTTGCCCCACTGTTGCCATCTCTTTCCTAGACTCAGCCTCTGGGGGTTGACACTTCAGCCCCGGGTTCCTCAGCATGGCCCAGCCTGCAGAGTTCCCATGTTGAGTAAGCCCCTGACTACCTGCCCTGGGGCTATACCCTCACAGGTGGGATGCCAGGCCAGCTGGGACAGAGCTGCCTGGGAGCAGATGGCAGGGCCTTTTCTGGCCTGAGGATGGCCAGCAGTAGGGTCAGGGGTTCTCTGCTCCTACAGAACAGGTGCCAGGGTCTCCTGCCACACAGTTTCTTCTCCCCTCACTGGTCTCTCTCCTCCCTCCACCGTCTTGAAAATCTTGGAAAGCAAGCTCACATAAACAGTCCCTCCTCCAATCTTTCAACTGATGTTTCTGAGTGCCTACTGTGTGCCTGCCACCGTATCAACACGAAGGAGGGAGCTGTGGACGAAGCGCATGGGAACTGCTCTCTGGAGGGATACAATTAACTGTCATGGCTGAGGCCAATGCTTAGTGTGGCCTGCTGTGTACCCTGGCTGGGACTAGTACTTTCTGTGCATTTCTTCAATTTGGCCAAAGAACCACCCTTTGTGAAAGGTACCAGAGGGACCTGCATTTCACAGGAGAGGAGAGTGGTACTCAGCAAGATTGTAGAACACATGGGAAGAAGAAACAGGCTGAGCCAGCCCTCCCTGACATCAGCACAGAACACAGGCCACATGCTTTGTGAGTGTGGAGGGGCTCCTGAAGGATGGAAGAGGTGGCCGGTGAGCCACATGGCAAGAGGTATGTCTGAGAACTTTTAGATAGGGCACATGCTCTGGGAACAGTGGGAGAGGAGGCAGGGGAGGTTGATGGGAAAGGCAACCAATCAGGGTTCTTAAGGCCCTGGGGACTACGACAGAAAAGTGATGGGTCAGCTATTGCAGGGAAGATGACCCAGAGTTAGAATACCACCAGGACATTCCTAGAATAATGCAGGCAAACACATGGCAGAGAGGAGAGAGAACAGGGTGTGACATCCAAAGAAACTAGCAGTTAGAAGCCACAGGACTTGAAGAGTGATTCAACTTCTGGAGGGAGGGAGAGGCTGGGATGGGTAGACAGCACACCACCTTTGAAGACAGGCCATACGGAGAAAGGGCAGCATGGAGAGAGGTGAGCTCTCTTCTGGACATGTGCAGTTTTGAGTGCTTAAAGACACATCTTTCCATTTGTTTGCTGCTGTTGTGAGGTGCTATTGGTTGTGACTCAGTGACTCCATGTACAACAGAACAACGCACTGCCCAGTCCCACACCATCTGCACAATTGTTGCTATGTTTGAGCCCACTGTTGCAGCTACTGTGTCAGTCCATCTTGTTGGGGGGTCTTCCTCTTTTCCCAGACCCTCCACTTTACCAGCATGATGGCCTTCTCCAGGGACTGACCCCTCCTGGTAACATCCAAAGTACGTGAAACAAAATCTCACCATCTTTGTTTCTCACGAACATTCTGCCTGTACTTCTTCTAAGATAGATTTGTTCATTCTTTTAGCAGTCAATATTCACCAACACCATTAATTCAAACATATCAATTCTTCTTTGATTTTCCTTATTCATTTTCCAGCTTTCACATACATATGAAGTGATTGAAAATACCACGGTAGTTTTTTCTCTGTTTATCGTGATGTTACTTATTGGTCCAGCTGTAAGTATTTTTGTTTTTATGTTAAGATGTAATCTATACAGAAGGCTGTAGTCTTTGATCGTCACCGATTTATTTAAGTCTTCTTCACCAGTGTTGGAAAGCTTTCTCTGGAACAGGTTTTACACTTCTTTTGTAAAAGTTGTTTCTAAGTATTTCATCCTTGGATGGAATTGTTTTCTAAATTTCATTTTTTGACTTTGTTCATTCCTATTGTGTAGAAATGCAATTGAATTTTGCATATTGATCTTGTATCCTGAAACTTTAGTGAACTTATCACTCACTTCTAGTCATTTTAAAGTGGCTTGCTTAGGATTTTTTCTATATACCAGACCATATCATTTGTATTTACTTGGTTGTTGGTTTTTTCCCAATCTGGTTGCCATTTATTTCATTCTCTTGCCTAAGAGACTTCCCTGGCCAGAGCCTCTGGTATCATGTTGAGTGGAAGTGGTAAAATCAGATACCCTTGCCTTGTTCCTGATTTTGGGAGGGAAGCTTTTAATTTTTCACCATTATGATCTGAACATGATATTCTTTATCATGTTAAAGAATATCCCCTTGATTGCTAAGAGGGTTTGAATGCTTTTATCATGGGTGACTATTGGATTTTGTCAAATATTTTTTAATTTATTGAGTTGCTCATGTGGGTTTGTTGTTTTTTTCTCTGATTTTCGTTTATATGTGATATGACATTAATTTTCATTTGTTCAACCAACCTTGGATTTCTAGGATAAATCCCACTTGGCTCTGGTGTATAGTAATTTTTATATGTTGCTGGATTCCATTTGCTGTCATGGTTTTCTTGTGGCAGCTTTGTTTGGTTCTGGTATTAAGGTACTGCTGACCTCATAGAAAGAGCTGGTCAGGTTCCTGCCTCTTCTGTTTTTGGAAAGAGTTTCTGAAGGATTGGTGTCAGTTCTTGCCAGGGGTCATTTAAGGATAGGTATTCAGTTGGATTGAAGGGTCTAGACCTCAGAAATGAGATTGGAGCTGGAAACACACATCTAGGGGGAGAGAGGACAGGCTCAGCCAAGCAGATGGGGTCATGTGAGAGAGTGGGAGAAGGGAAGGTCCAGAGCAGAACTGAAACAACAACTCTACTAGTCCCATAGGGAAAGAGGGTTCTGTAAAGGAAAACAAGAAGGCCCAGCCAGAGCTGGGCTGGAGGAGGGCAGTCCACACTGGGTCTCTGCCATGATCAGGCACCAAGAACCAGGACTTTGGCAGGTCAGGGACCTTGGCCAGAGTCCTTTGGTGAGAAGGTGGAATGGAGCCAGCCTGCTTCAGAGAGAGGCAGGATTGGTGATTGAGGAAGTGAGGCCCTGGAAAGCCTGGGGTCCTGAAGGAGCAAAGGGTTCCTCTTACCTGGCTTTTCTTGGAAGTGGGATTTAACCTGAAATCCCAGTGGTGCCCAGCAGCTGCCCTTCCAGCATAAAAGGACTCATTTGGGTGAATCATGTCATCTCAGGAAGACAAGCATCTCTGGATGTCTTCTGGAAAGTGAAGATCCTGGGCTCCTCCTAAAGGGAACTCAGGAAGGAACCCACGTTGGTACTCTGGCTGGCTGGGATTAGCATGCAGGAGATCTGGGTGGGGGCCTCTAAAAGCTCACAGAGTAGGTGTCAACTCCAGCTGGCCTCAGACCAGGGAGCCCAACTGTGAAGGGTATGCTCCTGCAACTCCTCCATGTGTGGGCCACCGTCACATCCAAAACTAGAACCTTACTGTGGGACTGAGTTGGAGGAGAATATGGGGTGCTCTTGACCTCTCACACAGCCCTGTTCCTCTGCCCACTGTAGCGCAACTCCACCAGCCTATACTATAAGTCCTCACTCAGCCTGCCTCTCTGTTGTCCCCCCAATATTCCTCAGTCACCTTCCCCCCACCACACCCCTCACTCAGCAGCCCCTCTCTCTACCCTCCCAACCCTCACTAAGCCCATCTTAGTTCTCTACTGCTGCTATAACAGAAATACCATAAGTGGGTGGCTTTAAAAAACAAGTTTATTTTCTCAACAGTTTAAGAAACTAGAAGTCTGAATTCAGGGTGCCAGCTCTAGGGAAAGGCCCTCTGTCTCTATTGGTTCTGGAAGAAGGTCCTTATCTCCTCAAAGCATTGGTAGGTCCAGTGTCCCTTAAAGATCTCCAAGTGTCCTGGCATCAGTCTTCCCCTGGGTCTAGGAGGTTCTCAATGCAGGGAACCCAAGTCCAAAGGATGTACCCCACTCTCTTATTTGTTGGTGGTACTAAGTCCCTCTCTGCTTACTTCTGTCTCTTTTTTATACCTTGTAAGATTAAAAAAATGTGACTTAAGTAAGGGTGTGATGTGAGTCCTACCCTCTTGTTGTCTGTTCTTGTTGGTTCTCTCTCAGTCCACAGAACTTCCTTTAGGATGTTTTTCATAGCAGGGTTGGCTTTGGCAAAATCCCTTAGCTTCTGTTTGTCCTGAAATATTTTGATTACACCATCATATTTTATTGACAGCTTTGCTGGGTAGAGGATTCTTGGGTGGCAGTTTTT